ATTTTCATCAAAATCTTTCTAGTATTTACTTGCATCCTTTGTAAAAGAATATAGTATACATTAAATAAATAAATAATATAGCCAGTTAAGAAGAATATAGTAAATACAATGATTTTTGATTACTCAGAAATGTCATTATCTGTTAATTCTGAGCTGTTTAGTTTGCTTCCTTTCTGAAATAGCTCCATGTGGTGCAGCTTGTATAATTGTTTTGCACATTTTAGAGTTTCTGTCTCCTTTGCAATGTACAGCTTGACCTTTGTCATCTTCCAATGGTCATTCTCTTCACCCTAGAGGTGAGAGGTGCTGGGGAGGATGGGAGAATGGGATAACAACAACAGCAACAACAACCACAACCATAAAACCTAATACTCTTTGAGAGTTATTACATGTCTGGTACTGTGTGTGAGTTTTCAATGATTTACTATTATGGGCAACAATTCTAGAGCTAGTTTTCTTATTGTTTCTGTTTGATGTATGAGGACATTGAAACACAGAAACATTGAATAACCTCCCCAGGTCACACAGGCAGGAAGTAGTAGAGAAGAGAGGAATCAGGGCAGCCTGACTGCATAACTTAGACTACTAGTCACTACACTGGATTGCCATTATTATAACTAGATAGTCATAAAGGCAAATCCATGCCATTGAGTTGATTCTGACCCATACGGCGCCTATAGAACAGAGTAGAACTGTCCCATAGGGTTTCCAAGGCTGCAAATCTTTATGGAGCAGACAACCTCACCTTTTCCCACAGAGCAGCTGGTGGGTTCAAACTCCTGACCTTTTGGTTAATAGCCAAATGCTTTACCCATTGCACCACCAGAGCTCTGGATAACCACACCAAAAAAAAAAAAAAAAAAAAACCCGAACTCACTGCCATCAAGTCAATTCTGACTCATGGAGACCCTCAATGAGTTCCCAAGGCAGTAAATCTTTACAGAAGTAGATTGTCCCATATTCCTTCTGCAGAGCAGTTGGTGGGTTTGAACCACCAACCTTCTGGTTAGTAGTCAAATGTCTGAGGCACTGCACCCTCAGAGTTCCTTCTGGATTACTATAGTGTTTATAAATAAGTCAACCATTTTTGAGTCCCAAAATGATTTGATCCCCAAAAAGATTTTGTGATAGTTTTATGTGGCATAAAATGTGTAGACTATATGGCAGATATTTTCCTTGATGTTTTATTTACTTATTCATTTGCTAAGCTCTGGTGGTGTAGTGGCTAAGGCATTTGGCTACTAAAGTTTGAACTCACCAGCCACTCCATGGGAGAAAGATGAAGCAGTGTGCTTCCATAAAGATTTGCAGCCTTGGAAACCCTATGAGGCAGCTCTACTCTGTTCTATAGGGTCCCTGTGGGTCAGAATCAACTCAATGGCATGGATTTGGTTTCATGACTATCTAGTTATACTAATGGCAATCCAGTGTAGTGACTAATAGTCTAAATTATGCAGTTAGGCTGCCCCGATTCCTCTCTTCTCGAGTTGGAATCGACTCAATGACAGTGGGTTTAGTTTGGAATTATGTGTAAGGCATTGGTCTAGGAGCTGATTAAGAACTGAAAGCTTATAGAACAAAGTAAACACAAGACAACTTCTAGTCCAGTCGTTTCAAATCTGGCTGCCCACTAGAATCACCTGGAGAGCTTTGCTGCCAATGCCCTACACCCAGACCAATAGCTGGTGTGACTCTTTGGGGATTCTAATACATACTAGTCTCAGTGATAAGGCAAATACGGAATGGAGAAGTAGCCTATCTAAAGTCATAGAGCTGGAAAATTTTAATAGTAAAATTTTCTGATTTCCAAAACTTTTCCACACACCACTAAAATTGTTCCAGGTGATTGTAAATCAGCTCATTCAACAACTACTTACGAAGACACTGATATACAAGACAAAATTAGGGAGAAAGTCAGTAACCAGCCAGATATCTGAGACACTGCTGTAATAAACAATTACCTCTCAAAGTAAAATAGAATATCAAATATAGTTAAAGATATTAAGGTTGGGCAATCCTACTTCTGTAGTGATACTGCCTCGGAAACCCAAGGAGGGGTCGCTATGAGTTGGGGCCGACTTGACGGCACACAACAACAACAACATCATATGAATGATGAAATTTGAACTTTTATGGAAAAGGACAAAGTGACAAGCATCATAGTTTAGAGAACACAGCATTGAATTTGGAACCATTCAAGTCTAGGTTCAAATCTAGCCCTTTGAATGACTGGCAAATTCGTTTGTGGCCCTAAGCTGTGACTCTGCATCTGTACAAAAGGGGAAATAGCTCCTTTGTTAATAAGTCAAATCATGTAGGTTTGTAGTTGGTTAGGTAATTCACAAATATTGAGTCCATTTATTTCCTTCCTTTGAAAATGACTAAAAAAGGAGTTAGTAAACAACTTCATAAAACCTGTTGCTGCTGTTGTTAGCTGCCCTTGAGTAAGCCCCCAACTTATAACAACCCCATGCACAATGGGATCAGACCATTAATAGTCGTAGGACTTTTATGGGCTAACTTTCAGAAGCAGATCACCAGGCCTTTCTTCCTAGTTTGCCTTAGTCTGGAAGCTCTACTGAAACCTACTCAGCATTAGAGTTCCATGTGAGCCTCCGCTGACAGACAGGTGGTCGTTATGCAGAAGGCGTAATGGTCAGCAATCAAACCTTGGTCTCCTGCATGGAAGCTGAGAATTCTTCCACTGAACCACCAAAGCCCTGTCATAAAATACACAAAACACCTAAGTGGACAAAGTGTCTAACATGACTGGTGCTTTGCGAAAGCAGAAAAGTGCTGAGCTAGAGGTTATTCTTGCCTCTAACCCAAGGAACTGTGATCTCCCCTGGCAGTCCTCCTCGCCTGCCTGCCAGACTTTAGCAAGCCTTTATAATCTTCTGCTCCTCACTGTAAGCACACTGCAAAGTTTCCAGCTCCCCTCTGGAGTACTGGTGGGCTCTATTCACGCTCTGATTGGCATCCAAGACCTAATTTAGACTTAACACTAGTCCTCCACTCAGGGAGGTGGCAACCTCCCTGCAACAGGAGTGTGGTACCGACAGTCAACATGCACGCTGAAAGTGTTAAAGCTCAGGACCAGGTGGCTTTGTAAAGTGAGAAATAACCACACGTGAAGCTTTCAATGTCTAATAAGCTTTTGGAAAGAACTCTTGAGAGTATTCTGAATGGAAGTATCTCCTCAACTGACCAAACCAGATCACTTTTTCAGGTTTGTTCATAAGGAAAGCTCCTATCTTCCCTTACAACCTCTTCTACCACAAGGACAGTGCTAAATACTCGGCTAAGTCCCCACTAACCTACTGCTGTGAAGTCAACTCTGACTCATAGTGACCCTGGTTAGCAGCCGAGCACTTTAACCATTGCACCACCAGGGCTCCTAAGTCTCCAGAAATACTCCTTAATGCAAATAAAAAAACCCAGACCCACCACTATCAGGTCGATTCCAACTCATAGTGACTCCCATAGGGTTTCCAAGGCTGTAAATAGACATCCTATGAAAACAATTCAAAATAACTATATATAAGGAGCTCTGGTAGCATAGTGCCTAAGGCACTTGACTGCTAACCAAAAGGCTGGTGGTTCAAACCCACCAGCCACTCCTCGGAAG